CCCCCTGCCCCTACTGCTGAGCCCCCCGCCCGGGCCCTCCACGGGCTGGGCTCTCACCCCGCGGGTAGTCCCCGGGTGCAGCCTCGCCGGCCCTTTCCTGTGACAGGGTTTTACCCAGCGACACCTGCCCAGAGCTAGGTGCAGGGTAGGCACTGGGGTCACAACGGGGGCCCCCCAGGCGGGGTGCCTGCTCTCAGAATGCTCAGGCTGCTGGGAGGGAGGGCAGGCGGTGTCCTACATGATAGGACACGCGAAGTCAAAGAAGCGACAGGAGCCTTCCGGAGGAGGAGGAGGCCTGTCCAGACACAAGTGGGGAAAAGCTGATGGTGGCAACGCCAACCAAATAAAAAGGGTAAGGAAGAAAGCGTTTCAGGTCAGGGAGTAGACTCGGTTGAGAAACCCGCTGAAAGGTCGGCCTACCCAGGGAGGTGTGTAGGAAAGAGAGAATGGCTAAGGAGAGAACCTAAAAAAAAAATCAATATTGTGGGTGTGAAAAAGGAACCCTGAAAGAGCACCCAGAATGTTGGGTGCTGAGAATGCAGAAGAGAAAAGAATATCGGTAAGCGGGTGGTCACCAGTGTCAAATGCTGTAGAGGTCAAGTGCCCAGTGGTGACCATAGAAAAATCAAAATTCAGGAATACAGGGTCAAAGTCAACAGTGGCTTGAGCCTGTGTACTGAAGGAATCCACTATCCTATGCTTCATACAAAGGAAAGATACGTTCAATTGTTCTGAATACCTTAATGTTTTAAAAATCGTCGTCATAGTATTTGCAAATTCAGGATTCCTCTAACGGAACTTGAAGCTGGAAAATATTTATTTAACCCTGCGTCTACGCTGCCTGCCACCCAAAGGCTTCAATGTTTGTTTAGAGAATAAATGAACCCATAAAAGCCTTCGGTTTTTAATATTCACGCAGGTCTCTAGAATCCTCAGCAAAACTGTGATATAGGCAGAATTCGTAGAGAATGGAAGAAGCGCAGGAAGGGTAGGAAGCAGAGGCTGGTAGAGTTCCAGGGGTTCAGGGCAGAAGCTGGTGGGGTTCCAGGGTTTCAGTGTGTAGAGGAGTGTCCAATGGAGCCAAGGGTGGGAAGATCCAGAGGAGAAAAAGAACAAAGGATGGAAAACATCCTTTTGATGTTTAGAAGCCAGAACTGAGAGATGAAACCAAGGAAACCAAAAATAGTTATAAACAGGAATAGAAGAGCAAAGACAAGAACAAAAGAAGGACAGTCACTGTACGTAAGTTCATCAGGCGGATCCGTTCTGACTGGACATCTGGCAGAAAGCGCGCCAGCCCGTGTGAAGGCTGCAGGGTTGGGTGGACGTATCCCCACATCCTCTAGGCCAAGTGAGCCCAGGGCTGCCTCGTGTGGGCCAAAGGAAAACCACAAGATGCTGCAGAGTGACTTGGGGTGAGATGCTTGTACCACAAGCATGCCTCCAGTCCATAGCTTCTGGAGAAATATTGTTCTTCTCTGAGAGACTGTAAACTGTCTACAATGGATGCGACCAGCCATCCGTGGGAGTAAACAAAATTCAAAACGTGTGGCTGAAGAGTTTAGGAACAACCAAAATATCAGCCAAAGGGACCTAAGTGTAAGGCCAGCAAGGCAGGACCTAAAAATGTTATAATTTGATAAAAGGAAGCTAAACCAATTGTTTTGTCAACAGGACAAGTCAACTTTTAAGGTAGAAAAAGGAAACCCCAAATACATGAAGTATAATAAAGTCTATCCCATTTCTACTGGCAGCCTTGGATGCAGCATGTATTCTAAAGAACTGTTCAAGCACCAAGGCGATTCATTAGGCTCAACTTGGCTGGGGTTCTGGGAGATTTCAGTGGTGCCTCAAGAGATAAAAACTTATCATTGCTATGAAGGGCATATTTTCAGAGAACTGCCGAAAGTTATTGGTGGACTCTAATTCCAGGGTGGTGAGGCATGGAAGGTTCCAGGTGATGTGCTTAGTCTGACTTTGATCTCTGGATGATGGATGGCCAATTAATAATGCAAAATGTTTTGAGGAATGCCCCGCAATACCCATGAGTGGTGGACCAGAATTATCATGCCCTGTTAGTAAATGAAATGAGCCTGCTGCTGCCTCCAGAGAATCCCATTTTGACATTGGGAAGAATTGTGTTATGAAATTAAAGCCTTAAAAGGCATTTAGGGGTTATAGACAGCCCCAGAGTATTCTAGTCCCAGCCCAAACCTGATTCCTAACCATCACTACCACCACTTGGTCTTCTCTTGTACTGACATCCCCACCGCCATCACAAAGGCAGATACCCAGACACCTGGGAGGCATCCTTGAATCTCCACTTTCCCTTATCACCTCCCCCTCACCCTAACGGCCCAGTCCAAGAGCAAGCCCTATAGATGGTCTCATGCTCTCCACCCAATTTCACCTCCACCAATTACAGTGAAAGGAACAAATAACCAAGCAACTCAGGCTCTGTAAGAAGTGTTACAACCTCAGCAATGAAGCAAGGCAATAAGGCTCTGTGTGTGTGTGTGTGTAGACAGTGTAACGACCAAACATTACAAGAACTTCAAGGAGATAACATAGAATACATTTATTCATGCCTTTCACATGCTAATTTCACCTCAAAAGAAGTAAAAGATAATGAAAGGACTAAGAATCGAACTTATTCCAAGAACCAAAGTGAAGGAGTGTTTGCTGCCCTGGGGGTGCAACTTGGGAAAGCCCCAGCTCTGCCATGGGATGCGTTAAAGCGCCACGAGCCTCCTCCGTACCTGTGCAGGCTGATACTGCTGTGGGCTAAGTGCTGTGAGTAAGCAGAAAATATTTCTCATCAAACACAGTGTCAGTTGTTCTTGGCCTCCTCAGCTGCGGCACCTAGACCCACCCAGACCACTGTTTCCAACCTGCCGTTTTCATCTGAATATAGTCTATTTTTGTTCTTGTCTCACTTTAAACTTAGTTTTAAAAAATAGATTTTTTATCTTCGTAATATTTTTATTTACTTATTTTTATTTTTTATTTATTTGTTTGTTTGTTTGTTTTGCCTCATAGTCTTAGCCTTTACCTTAATTTCTCCTTGGCCTTCTAGTTCCTGTTTAAAATTTCATCTTTTTAAATATCTTTAGATGTTAATTTTATCAGGATTTTGTCAACATGTTAGTCTTAACTTTTAGGTGTAATTTTTTTATTTTCTAGATCTTTGATCCTCTTAAACTTTTTATTTCACATACATGCTATTTTAATGTGAGTTTTAGAAAATTTTGCCATTTACAATGTTATTCTTTTTAAATTTTCATTCCTACATTTTCTAATCTGTCTTAATTTTTATACTGTCATCACCCTGTCTTAATCTTTCTCTGATCTTCCATTTTTTCTGCTTTCATTCTTTCTGTTTTAATCACAGATGTGTTTCAGCAGCTACAAATGGTATCTAACAATGATTATACCTTAAAGAGAAAGAATGGCATGAAGCTCACCAAACCCAGAATGCTTAGACCTTTGTTTTGTTGGAGAATTCACTGCAGAGGGAGGTCTTCACAGGACAAGATTTTACTTTTCTCCTGGATCTTGCTCCCTGGCAGGTACCAGCCTCATGAAAAGCCAATATAACAGGTCTCTCATGTTCCAATCCCGATACAGCAGCAATGCAACATAGCACTTAAGACCAGGGGAACTAAACTGCTGGGTTCAAACCCACCTCCTCCAGTTACTCACTGTGTGACCAAGGGCAAGTGACTCAACCTCTCCATGTCTCCGTTGTGCTCACCTATTGAATGAGGATCATAGGTTGGTGTGAGATTTAAATGAGTCAATTCATGTAAAGCACTTACTATATGCCTGGCACATAGTAAATATATGATAATATCATTTAATTAGAAGTTATCCTGAATAGTCACTCTTAGGAATGTAAAATAACCAAGCATCTTGTAGATGATGGTCCTGTCGGCACAGCTTCTATTCTAACTCTTGTAGCAGACACCGTAACCTACCAAATTTCTCTTTGGCATGGTCTCTTCCAAACAGAACCCCAATTTTTTTCGGATATTGACATTTCTCCAAGGAGTCATGGGGAGGAGGGGGTGGGGTGTGTGTGTGTGTGTGTGTGTGTGTGTGTGCGTGTGTGTGTGTGTGTGTGTGTGTGTGTGTGTGTTGGTGTGTGTTAGGGCAGGGGTGGGGAATAATTTCAGTGAAGGATGACTCTCCCTTTCCAGTGCCTAAAGCTATTGAGTCTCTATACTCTAGATTTCTAGAGAGAAAACATCTGATTGACTCAGGCCAGCCTGTGAATCGGGTTAGAGGTCTGCTGGAGCCTGTCAGCTGAACCAAGGAGACAGACTCATGCAGTAGAATTATGGCTGCTCAGGTTTACCCATTCATTAGGGGCTGCGTGTGTGTGTGTGTGTGTGTGTGTGTGTGTGTGTGTGTGTGTGTGTGTGTGTGTAGGTGCACACACTTGAGGGGAGGGACAAAATTTCAATGAAGGTTTTGTAGGTGAGGAAAAATGATAATCTTATGCAGTATATAGCCTGTCTCCACAGATATGCATACCCTAGCCTGAAAAGCAGGGATATAAAGTATAATTGTCATTAAATATGGTAGTCACATTTTAAAATATTTAACTGGAGAGAAATCTTTTCAAAATGCAAAAACAAAACCAAGAGGACTTGACTAAGGAGGACTTGGAGAAGGTGAATGAATGACAAAAATATTCTGAATCTATTTATAAGAAAGAAAAATGTTTTTAGATTAGAACAAAGAAACCAGCACAATT